CTATTCTATTCTATTCTATTCTATTCTATTCTATTCTATTCTATTCTTCTCTACACACATTGGAGATCCACCCCACAACACTTTGGCCCTGGGTTCCAGTTCTGGGCCCCACAGTTCAGGGTTTTAATAGGAGGGGGGTGGTTTAAAAAACGTTGCGAGATCTGGGAATTAAACCCACCGAAGACCTGGAGATGTTTAGCCTCAGTCTTCCTTCAAACAGAGGCCCCGAGATCATGGTCACCTGCCCGAGGGGGTTGGACTAGATGCCCTGGGGGTGTCCCTCCCGGTCATTCATAAAGCTCCAAAGTGAGAGACGGGAAAGAGGGAAGAGGAGGAAAAAAAAAAACGACGACAACCAACACCACCCAGAATCTCTTTGCTCACAAACTTTCCTGCCTGCTGAACTGATAGTCTCCACATCCTCCCTCTAAAAAAAAGGCTTTTTAAAACCAGGACGGCCTTCCAAAAACTTTCTTTAGAGAGAGAGAGAGAGAGAGAGAGAGAGAGAGACGAATGCAAATATTTCCCTGCAGGACACAAACCCCATTTCTGGTGGACTGGAACGTCTTCCTTGATTTGGGTTTGGAAAAGAGACCTTTGGCCAAAGACAAGAGGGCAGCTAGCCAGATATTCAATTCCAGAGCCGAGACAGTGAGGAGTAGCGTGGGGAGCTAAACAAAACAAGAAAGGAGCAAAAACGCACTCACCAATACACACACACACACACACACACAGAGAGAGAGAGAGAGAGAGAGAGAGGGAGAGAGGGAGGGAGAGAGGGAGGGAGAGAGAGTTTGCTGTCTTAACTAGATGTTGGGCGCGGAAAAAATGCGGGGAAAAATTCATCAGCTAAAGAATGTTTTTGCACTCTTTCTTCTTTTTTTAAAAAAACAATCCATCTAAGGATGCTCAGTTCTCTTTTCTTTAATAAGTGACTCTAATTTATTTTATTTTTTTCCAAAGGAGGCAATAGGGAAGGGACAGGAGAAGGAGGGAAGAAAGGATGAAAGAGGAGGAAGGGAGGAAAGAAGGAAGGCAAAGGGGAAAGTAGAAGGAAGGGATGGAAGACGGGAAGGAAGGAAGGAGGGAGAAGGGGAAAGTGAGAGAAGGAAAGAAGATGGAAAGGAAGGAAGGAGGGGAAAGTGCGAGAAGGAAGGAAGGAAGGAAGGAAGGAAGGAAGGAAGGAAGGAAGGAAGGAAGGAAGGGAGGGAGGGAGGGAGGGAGGAAGGAAAAGGAGAGTAGGAGAAGGAAGGAAATGAAAAGGAAGGA